ATAACAATGAAAGAATTTTTCTTTTACTTTCCAAAAGATCAATCGTTTAACAATTCAAACTGATTCTGTATCTATAAAGTATTGTAACCAGAGGTGGGGAGGAGGTGTTAGGTTTCCGGTCACTATGAACCAAGTGAGTAGAAACAAAGATTCAATCTTTTAAACGCAGTTTGTTTAAAAGCTTGCAAGCCAAGGGAAAAATTATCATAATGGGTGCATTAAAGATCATTTTCTGGCATCCCCAAATCAAGCCAGGCTTTTTAAAGAGTCAGTCAAAGAAAGTAGGTAAAAGGAAAGGAACATGAGAGCAGGGCAGCAAGTCCAGGGGTCTTGATAAGATTGTTTACTCCATGTCTCTTCCTGTTCCTGGCCTATGTTTGATGGTCCAGATAGACTTTTGTCATGATTCCTTGCTGATGGTGATTCTTTGAAAAATGTATTCATGCCATTACATTCAATTTTAATATGAATACTTACATCCTCATATATAAATTTTAATATCCTCAAGAAATACAAATTTTACAATGTTTTTGTTTAATCCAATTGTCATGTGACTTTACCCCGTTTTCTACTTTCTTCCAATTGCACTCATTCCTCCTATCTAGTCCCTGATTAGAGGTGTGATAATAAAAAATGTGCCTGCTGTTTAAAAAAAAAGTTTCAACTTTTTCATGTCAGGGTAACTTGCTCACTAATCTTGAGTATTTAAAATTATAATCTCACAGCTAATTAATAAATCAGGTTAATTAATTTTGTTGTTGTTACTGTTTTATGCTATTGCTTTACTTGCACCTCATAGTGATCCTATGCATAATAGCTCTGAACTCTGCCCTATAGTAAACCAATCTCACTGTCTTTGACACAGCTACTCTCATTGTCCAAGTCCGGTGTCGAACTATCTTGTCCAGGGTCTTCCTTTCCTGCATTTTCTCTTTTATCCTTCCAAATGTGACAGCCTCATCAATCAATAAGGATGACAGAAACAGAATTGACTCCTCTGAGCTATGGTGTTGGCCGAAGAGCACTGAAGATCCCCTGGACAGCCAAGAGTATGTACAGATATGTCTTGAAGAGGATGTAGCCGCAATGCTGTTTAGTGGCAAGAATGATGTTGCTA